TTCCGGCGGTCCAGCTGGGAAACGGCTGCTGCTGGGGGACAGGAGGAGGAGGGAGGAGAGGAAGTTGGGGCTGGAGGTCGAGCTGCTGCTGGAGCTGCTGAAGCTGCTGCTGGAGCTGCTGGAGCTGCTGCCCATACTGCTGCGGTCCCTGCTGCTGGACACTCTGCTGCTGCTGCTGCTGCTGCTGCTGCTGCTGCTGCTGCTGCTGCTGAGAGGGGAGAGCAAAGGCCTGGTGGGCCTGGGAGGAGGAGGAGGGGGCGTAGAGGGGAGAGGTGCGAACATCGAGGGGAGTGGGGCGGGGATTAAGGGCGGACCAGCGAGGAGGGGTGCCAGAGTTCCCACGAGCGAACCACTCATCGCTGAGTGCCTTGAAGCACGTGTCAGTTGCATGAGTGGTTTGGTTGCAGCGTTGGCCTCGGGTGGGGCCATAGAGGGGAAGATACTGACAGGGTGGGAAGGCCGCTGCTGCCCCACGACCCGCACCACCACGACCGCCAGAGCCGCCTCGACCACCACCACGCCCACCTCCACGCCCTCCCCCACGTCCGCCCTTGCCGCTGCGCTGCTGTGCTACCGCGGCAGTGGAGGAGGAGTGGCGAAGGATTTCAGCCTCAGTGGTGATAATCCACTGGGCAACTTGAGCGGGAGTGTCATGCTTGGAGAGGAGTTGCATGTATGCGAGCTTGTGGGCATCGAAGGCGGGAGTGAGGCCTTCGAGGAGGTGGCAGCAGATGACAGTGTCAGGGTAGGTAACGCCAAGTGCTGCAAGGCGGCGAGCAAGGTCAAGGACGCGGCGAGTAAAGGCGGCTGCGCCGGCAGTGGAATCCATGGTGATGGATCCAAATTCCTTGATGAGGGCATAGAGGGTGGCGATGTCCTGCCGGTCAAAGAGGTCGACAAGCAGTTGCCACAGGTGGGAGGAGGAGGTAGGTGAAAGCTCTCGTTTGAGGGAGGAGGGGATAGTGGCGAGGAGGATGGCGAGAGCTCGACGGTCAGCAATGCGCCACGCAGCGATGTCGGTGGTGTAGCTGGCGAGACGTGTAGTGTACGTGGCGAGTCGAGCTTGGTAATCGCGGTGGCGGGCAGCAGCCTCGTCGTAGGCGCGCTTGTCGTCCTCATAGCGCAGTTGACGGCGAAGGTGGTCGTTGAGTGCGGTGCGGTAGGTACGGATGGCAGTTTCCATGCTCTGAGGATTGTTGACATCCGGCGCGAAGGTGGGAGGATCACCAGGAGGCTCGGGCTCAGGTCCGGGCTCGTCAGGAGGAGGTCCGGTGGGGGCGGAAGGGGCGATGGGCTGGAGTCCGCCTTCCTCCTGGAACACGACGGAACGGAGGGTATATCCGCTGACGACAACCGAGGAGAGCAACACCTCGACGGAGTGGGCATAAGAGTGCCAGTTGGCGGCCGAGTTGTCGCCCAACAACTCGAGAGAGTCAATGGTCGCCAGGTCGACCGATGAGTCTGCGGACGCCATGATGGCGAAGTCGGGAAGGTGCCGCTGCTGGTGCCGTTGAAGGTGCCGCTGCTGGTGCCGTTGAAGGTGCCGCTGCTGGTGCCGTTGAAGGTGCCGCTGCTGGTGCCGTTGAAGGTGCCGCTGCTGGTGCCGTAACAGGGTGGCGCTGCTGGTTTAGGGTTAAAGGTGCCGCTGCTAGGTGCTATTGCTGGTGCGATTAAGGGTGAAGTAGGGGGGGGAGGAGGTAGGGGAGAGGGAGGATGGCGCGGAAGTGTGGGGCAGGGCGCGGATGAAAGGGGGGAGGTCGCGCAGGTCAGTCGCGGCGGCGCGTCGGCCGCCCGTGAGAGCGCGAGGGTCGGCCGCGGCTCTGCGTCGGCCGTCCGCGTCAGCGCGAGGGTCGGCCGCGGCTCTGCGTCGGCCGTCCGCGTCAGCGCGAGGGTCGGCCGCGGCTCCGCGTCGGTCGTCCGCGTCGGCGCGGAGGTCGTCGGCGATCGCGCGGCGGCCGTTCGGGATGGCGCACAGGTCGGCCGCGACTCCGCGCTGGCCGTCCGCGTCGACGCGCGGGGTGCTCGTGGCCGCGCGCTGGCCGTCCGCGACGGCTTGCTGGCCGTCCGCGACGGCTTGCTGGCCGTCCGCGACGGCTTTCTGGCCGTCCGCGACGGCTTTCTGGCCGTCCGCGACGGCTTGCTGGCCGTCCGCGACGGTGTGCTGGCCGTCCGCGACGGAAGGCGTGAGGGAGGGGTGGCGGCGGGAGGGAGGATTGAGGCCGCGGGAGAGCGGTCGGAGGCCGCGAGAGGGAGGATTAAGGCCGCGGGAGGGAGGATTGTGGCCGCGGGAGGGAGGATTGAGGCCGCGGAGGAGTAGATCTGAGCCGCGGAAAGCTAGATCTGAGGTACGGGAGGGAGGATTGAGGCCGCGGGAGGCTAGATCTAAGACGCGGAGAGGAAATTACGGCCTAAGGATCGAGGGAGGTGGCGTGAGCCATTTGGCTCTGAATACCATGATAGAATTCAAGAATGGTTGAGTAATGAGCCAAGGAGGCTCTATAGTACAAGCATGCAAGGAAGAGAGGTTGGAAGAAGGTGCAACCCTATTGGCCACTAAGTTGGCCAATGGGTGAGTTGCCTTGTGGAGTAGGGAACCCCACAATGTTGCTAGCTTGTGATTGGTTGGCCTTAGGACCAAATGTTGGCAAGTGCCAACCAAGGACCAAGACCAAACCAAATCTTGACCCAACCACAAAGTGTGGTTGGAGTGTACACCCAACCCCCCAATGGCTTAAAGAGCTACACCTATTCTAGCCTATGTATGTTGTATATATAAGATACATTTACAACAGAAGCATGAAAGGCTGCGCAATTAACTATGTTCGTGAGATGAAAATGACAGAGGATAGAAGGGGTCAGGAGAAAGTGAGAAGAGGCAGGGGTTAGTAAGGGGCGAACACGAACGTGTTCGTGTTAGCCCTTGCATGTACACAGCCGTTCGGCGAACCGAAGCAAAAAAGGGTGTTCGGTGTTTGCCTGTGAAGGCGTGTTCGGGCGAACCTCGAACACGTTCGTGTTCGACGCGGGGCAAATTGCAGCAACGGCCCGAACACGAACGTGTTCGAGTGAACCTCGAACATGTTTGTCACGAACACTTTAAGCAAAAAAACAAACCTATTCGGTCTGCCTCGAACAGGTGTTCGTATATTTGCTCAGCCCTAAGAAGAGGTGTGTTTTCTTTCCGCCCCAAGGCGCATTATAATTTTCACAGGTAACTGAGAGCATAGAGGGAAGAACAGAGGCGATGGCAAGATAGCGGCAAAAGGAAAGTAAAGAAGTGGAGAAGAAATCATAGTTAAGAGTAGAAAGGTTGCTAGGTTCACCCCAGAATTCTGGCCGGGGCCCATTGTTAGTCATTCGGTTCGGGTGGACCCGGGTTCCACCGGATTGATGTAGACGTGGCCATGATATGGCCACAGAAAGTAGGTTGGGGCTCACTCTCCACACTTCGAGCAACAAGGCTCTAGCCACTCGTGATTCATAGCATCAACTGGAGAGATGATGGAGAGGAAGGGGAAGAAACGAGAGCACACTAAGCCAAGCAAAGGCTTTGCAGGGTTGCTTACAGGTATTTCAACTTTGCAGGGCAGCTGGTTTCAGAGAGAATTAAGCCAGGTATGCTTGTCCAACTAAGGGTTCTCTTCACATGGTCTCTAGATCTACATCCGCGGCAACGTAGAAAATTTCCCGTGGGCTCCTTCCTTCCTCACAGCAATTCCTGGCGGCCTTTCCGCTTCCTCTCGTCTTATTCCCAATATGCACTTTCCAAAGAACTCCTCAGAGCTATCAGCTATCAATGTGCTCCCTTTGCACCGCCACCCTCCTTTCGACCAGCGTGTCTCCTAGCACCTACTCCACACTATACATGGGCAAACGAGTCGAGTGAAAACTCGACTCGTTCGAGGGACTCGAAAAGCTCGAGTTTCGAGTTTGTTTTTTTTTCAAAAAAACTCGGTTGCTCGAGTCGAGTTTTGCTCGTGAGTTTAAAAAAACTCGTGAAAAACTCGGCTACCACGCAAGTTTTTTCAAAATTCGCGAGTTTTTGGGGCTCGTGACCATTCCGCCGCCAAATATGCCCGCACCTAGCATTCCGCCGCCAGATAAGCCCGCATTTAGCATTCCGCCGCTAGATCCGCAAGGCATTTCCTTTCACTGAGCTGGTTTCGTGCGGTGGTTGGTAAGGGGGGTGTTTAACAACGAGGCGAGTTTTACTTGACTCGGACGAGTTTTCTTTGAACTCGTCCGAGTGTTGAAAAAACTCGGTAAAATGGTCAAGTTTCGAGTTCGCTTTGTGGAACAAAAAACTCGGCGAGTTTTCCTCGACTCGACTCGTGTCTGACAAAAAACTCGTCAAAACGAGTCAAGTAAAACTCGACTCGTCTTTTGCCCATGTATACACCACACTCTCCACACCAATCTGCACGCTTAGCAGACACTACCTCCAGACTCTGAACTATGCCCCACGTAGACATGTGCATTTGTACGAGTTCCTAAACTCGACTCGTTCCCTTGACTCATCACGGGACGAGTGACGAGTGCGAGGATAGTTCGCAAAACCTCGGCCGAGCCGAGCCGAGTTTTACTCGGTGAGTATTTTAAAACTCGCTACAAAGTCGTGAACCGTGTGCGTATGTTTCTGGGACTCGTAAGCTTATTTTATACTCGTGAGTCTACAAGTCGTGGCGACATTTGGGGGGGGGGGGGGGGGGGGGGAGGGGGAAGCAATGACGGCACCATGTATGGTGTGTCCCCCCCTAGGTTCCTATGCACTAAGTTTTCCTCTTCGGAGCTTCACCTAGCCTGTGAGTGGCTTTGGCGGCCTAGCTGCCTGCAGTAGCCCATGATCCACATTGCAAGATTTTAAGACTGTTCGTTACCTCCTCTCTCATGCCTCCACTCCCGTTCCCTATAATACTATGCTCTTTATCACGTCGTCAGTTCGATTCGAATAACTTCAACCCGAACTAATTGGGGTTTGGTACTCGCTCATGCCTGCTTACAGGCGGTTTAGGTTTGTAAGCAAGCCAAAAGCGGTGGGGATTGGGCCACTGAGCTGGTTGTTATGAAGATATCTGCAATGACGAGCATGAATGGGCACGCATAGAAATGAGCTGGGGACTAACTCTAGTGGGAGGCAGAATTAACATTCCATAGAAAAGATCTAAAGATAGATTTCATCAACTCTAGTGGGAGGAAGAGTTAATGTAACAGAGGTGCGAAAGCCTGCACAATAGACTTTGTCCCTGAGATGTGTGCTGAGAAAGGCAGAAGATAGAATGGATCAGGCGAAGTGAGAAGAGATGTGTTCCTTGCCAGGCCCAAGGCACCTCATAATTTGCGCTGGGAACTGAGCATAGGAGAGGGAAGATCAGCGGCGATGCCAGGATAATGGCAAAAGTAGCATACAGAAGTGGAGGAAAAAGCACAGTTAACGAGTAAAAAGGTTGCGCAGAAAGGGTAGGCCTGAGCAAAGGTTCAGGTCGGGTCAGGTCAACCGCACAGTTTTGGCCGGGGCCTCTTGTTACTCATTAGGTTTGGGTAACGCTGGCATCACTTGATTGACGTGGCTGTGGCCATGGTAGAAAGAAAGCTGGAGCTCACTTTCCTCGCTTCCAGCAACAAGAAAATAGCCACGTGTGTTTCGTACTGAGTTTGCTTCAAAACAGCTTGGCTACCAAACTTGGATCTTTCCGAGTTGAAGTGCACGAGAACCCAATCAGGCTCGAACTTGAGGACTTGAACATCGAACCATAAGCTGTTCAGGGTGGTTCAATCAACCCGAACCGCAATGACCGAACCAGTTCAGGTTGGGATGCCTGCTTACAGTTGCTGCAGGTTACTAAGCATGCCGATTGTAGTGGGAATTGAGCCAGCGAGCTGATTGTTTTGAAGAAATCTGCAACAATGAACACGAATGTTCACGGGACGGGATTAGCATCAAGAGGAGAAATGGTGGAGTGGAGAGGAGGACGGAAGAAACGAGATCACGATCAAGTCTGCAAGGTTGCTGATTTCAGAGTGTTCAGTTTTGCCAGGTTGCCAATTCCAGCAGGAATTGTGATCTGCACGATGAGTATAAATGGTCACGCGTTAGATACATGAAGTCGAAATTTTCATGGGGAGGAGCGACGGATAGTGGCAAAGAAGCAATCCAATTGGAAGGCGACATCTTTGAAAATGCAACAGAGGCATGAAAGGCCGCATGATGGGCATTGTCCGTGGGATGTGTGCTAACACCGGCAGGGGATGAATGGGGACAGGAGAAGTGAGGAGAGACGTGCACTTTGTGTGCCCCAATTAGTGTCATCGGCGTATAGAATGGCCACGAGGAAGAGCGCATACGAGAGGTGGGGAGAGAGGCGGAAATTAGATGGAAAAAAAGGAAAAGGTAGGAATGAGGAGGAATGGACAGATGATGCGGAGAGTGCTTTCAAGGTAGGAAGAGAGGGACACAAGAAGCTTGCAATATTCCTTTTGTTCCGGGACTGGAATGGAAGGAATGTAGTTTGGTTTGATCAGACCGGCCCGTTCAACCAGGTTCGACTTGAACCAGGTACTTGCTCATGCCTCACTCACAGGATTTGCAGGTTCGCGAGGTTGCCTACTGCACTGGGAATTGGGCCAATGAGTTGATTGCCTTGAAGATATCTGCCACGATGGGCAAAAACGGGCATGCAGGGAACATACAGGAAGCTCAAGCTTCCATGGGAACAAGCACCGGATAGGAACAAGCAACTCTGCTGGGAGGAAAAATCCCTAAGAACGGAATAGAGGCATGAAAGGTAGTGTGATGGTGGGGTGGCATATTTGCTGACAGGGGCAGGGGTTGAATGGCGGCAGGTGACGTGTAGAAGAGCAGTTCATTGCCAGCCTCAAGGCATGTCAGGCATGAATAGAATGAGCACAGACAAGAGAGCGACGTGAGAGGAGATGATGAGAGAGGTGAAACCAAGATATGAAAAAGGGAAAGGAGGGATGATGTGGAGAGAGGTGTGGAGGGAGGAAGGGAGGGATGAAAGAAGAATGCAACGATTATGAGGTTACAGGAATGGAAAGGACACATAGTTCTACAAAGAATGGGGGATCAAAACGAAGGGATGTATGAACATACATAGATAGGGGGAGCTGCATAAATGGACAAGAGCAATACGGCAGAGCAGTCGTGCACTCACGTCTGGTGGAGAAGAGTTTCTTAGCAACCCGTGCCTCCTATGACGCACACCCTCCAGACATCCTCCAGACTCACACCCTCTTGTACTTTTCAAAAAGAGAATGGTGTCATTGAGAGCTGCAATTCCAAGTTTACCAAGATTGCACATTGTTGCCTCATCTCTCATGGCCCCACTCCCATTCGCTATAAATCTATGCTCTTCTTGATCTCGACAATTTGACCATGTTCGACCCGTGCCGGTTGGGGTTCGGTACTTGCTCCTGCCTACTTACAGGCCTCTGAGGTTTGTAAGCATGCCAAGTGCAGTAGGGATAAAGCCAAAGAACTGATTGTATTGGAAAAATCTGCAACGATGAACACAAATAGGCACGCATGAGGTGTAGGGATTGGGATTACAGCAAATAGACAGACACTGCATTGTGTGGTCAGTCTACACCCTCAAATCACTTCTAGTACCTTGCAAATCACAATCACATGCGCACTACTATAACCAAGACCACAGCATACAGAGAAGGAGAGGATGGTGGTCAGCGGAACTTATGCGAGTGGATATAGTGGAGGAGGGGGTCAATGGAATGCATGGGTCAGGACTAGCATCAAAAATAGGAGAAACGACTGAGATTAGAGAGGAGAAGAAGCTCGAATACACTAAGCTAAAGGCCTTGCTAGGGGCTTACAGGTAACTCAGTTTTGCAAGGTTGCCGATTGCAGCAGGAATTGTGCCACCGAGCTGATTGCCAACAAGTGATCTGTGATGATGAGAAGGAACGGGTATGCGGTAGATATAGGGAGCTCAAGTATGCATGGCAACAAGCGAATGAGAGGAGGAAGTAACTCCAATGGGAGGAGAAATCCCTGAGGATGCAACAGAGGCATGAAAGGCAGGCAGGAACGGTTGGGTACAAATCTGAGAAATGCAGTTGTACCCAACCACTTTCCAGAAGTACGCATAAGTGCCCAACCACAGCAATTTCGACCGCTCACAAAATTGCCAAGCCTGTGAAGGTGAAATTTGTCATTCCTTGCCAACGAATCGCCTACGATCGAGTCAAAGAGTTCGCGATTTGTCTTCGCGAAACAGTTTGACGTGTTTTTAACCGACCACCCTGCATCGGTCAGGACCTTGAATTCGTGTACCTTGAAGTTCCTGTCCTCGTTCAAGGGGAACGAAATTGCCCCGAACCGATCAAGGCCTCTTCATCATCCATCTGGTTCAGGTCAAATTCTAGACGTCGACTTGAACCCCTTCAGGTTCGAACACGAGGACTTAAGCGTTGAACCATGAGCTGTTCAGGCTGGTTCGACCGAAAGGAAACTAGTTCGGTTTGACTGCACCGGCCATGTCTCACAGGCTTTGCAGGTTTGTAAGGTTGCCTATTGCACTGGGAATTGAGCCAGTGAGTTGATTGCTGTAAAGATATCTGCCATGATGAGGAAAAAAGGGCATGCACAGTAGAAATAGGAAGCTCAAGCCTGCATGGAAACGAGCAGCGAATAGGATCTAGCAACTTCGTTAGGAGGCAGAATCTTTATAAACGCAATACAGGCATGAAAACGCAATACGTCCATAGTGAGGGAAATGTGTGCTGACTGTGGCAGGGGATGGATGGGGGCAGGAGCCGTGAGAAAGACAAGTACTTTCCCTGCCCCAAGGCATGTCAGGCACGAATAGAATAAGCACAGGCAAGAAAGACGGGAGTGGGGAGTAGGGAGGCGAAATCAAGAAAGATAGGCTAAAGAGGGGAAGGAGGCAATCAGAAAGAAACGAGGGATGATGTGGAGAGAGGTGCAATGAGAAGAAGGGAGAGATGACAGAAGAATGCTAAGGTTTTGGGGTTCCTTCCAGGAATGGAAAGGACGGAGGGTCAGAGAAGGATTAGGGGAGCAACAGAGAAGGAATGTATGAAAAAACATAGAGAGGGAGGAGGGTAAATGGACAAGAGTAACCGAGAGGGATGAGTTAGAAGCAACGAGGAAACGTAGTAGCAGAGATTCATTACACTCGTACGATATTTGTACGAATGCCTTGTCATTTGCCTGATATTCGAGCCCAACAGCAGCGAGGCACTCGGACCCTGGGCCCTAGATAGCAGTGTGGCTTTACTCTCCCTCACCAACCGGCACAGTGGTATTAGCCAGTCAGACTTAGTATTCTCGTTGTGCAGACAGACAATACAACCCCCAAATCACTTTTACCTTGAAACCTGCAATCACTCCATTCGCTACACGCTACTAGTCCCAAGAACCCAGGATACAGCAAAGGAGAGGGTGGTGGTCAGTGGAGCTCGTGCGAGTAGATAAGAGGGAAGAGGGGAAAATGAAGTGCTCAAAAGGAGGAGAAATGGCGGAGAACTCAGAACCGAGAGAAAAACCTAGAGTACAGCCAAGCAACGCCATTGCTGGGTGCTTACAGAGAACTTAGTTTTGCAAGGTTGCCAATCTCAGCGGGAATTGTGCCATTGAGCTTATTGGCAGAAAGTGATCTGCAATCAAAGAATGGGTATGCGGTAGATTATGGGTATGCTCAAGTTTGCATGGCATTGAGCGACAGATCGGAGGAAGCAATCAGCTCCATTTTAAGGCGAAATCCCCGACATTGCGACAGAGACAAGAAACATGCAGCACGATGGAGATTGTCCATGGGATGTGTGCTAACTCAAGCATGGGATAGATGGGGGAAGACGTAGTGAGGAGAGAAGTTTGTTTTGTGTGCCCCAAGGAGTGTCATCAACATATAGAATGGCCATGGGGAAGAGAACATGGGAGAGGTGGGGAGAGAGGTGGGAAGTGGATATGAATTAACGAGATGGAAGCATGTAATCCTCCAAAGCAACAACCTCATGTTTTATACCATTATGCACTTCAATTTCATGCATTAACAGCCTATTTTTCTTCATGTTTTCGTACCATAATGCACTTGGTTTTCGAACTTTTTGTGGGAATTCTCTACAGCACTTCTGAACCAGTTTGTTCTTGTCCACGTTTTACAATCACGTCCGGTTTCTCTACACAGGACGTACTGTGTTTGTTGTTCACTACGTTACCTGTTTGCTCTCAAGGGTTGTGTGCGTAGAGTAACAGAATGTGAAAAGAAGGAAGAGGGGGAAATGAAGTGCAACGATCAGGACTTGCGCAAAAAGAGGAGAAACGGCGAAGAGTAGAGAGGAGAAAAACCTGGATTACAGCCAAGCAAAGGCCTTGTTGGGGGCTTACAGAGATTTCAGCTTTGCAAGGTTGCTGATTGCAGCAGGTATTGTGCCAGTGAGCTTATTTACAACAAGTGATCTGCAAACAAAGAGTATGCATTACAATATAGGAAACTCAAGTTTGCAATGGGCGACAGATAGGGGAAAGTAGGCATGATCAATAGGCCCGACCCGACCCGACTTGGGTGGGCCAGCCGGGTTCCGGGTCGGGTCGGGTCGGGTCGGGTCGGACCTTTCAAGATCTCTGGCCCGACCCGGGTATCGGGTGCCGGGTCAGGCGTGACCCGCCCCCGGTCGGGTCGGGCCAAGCCCGGGTCGGGTCGGGTCGGGCCAGACCCCCATACGCAGGGTTAGGGTTAGCGGGAGCGCGACCTGTTAATTTCAGATTAAAAAAAAAAAAACCCAGAATGGATGGCGCGATGTGCGAATAACTTATAAAAACGATTGGCTGAGAACTAACTAAACATTGTCGTAGGTTATTGGGTAGATTAGTATGCCAATGTTGCTTGGTGGGTGGCTGCTGGCGTCACTAGCTAGTTACCTAAGCTTAAACCAGATTGAAATGGTAGTCTCGGGGAAACAAAACAAACGCGATTGCTATCTGGCTAAGTTTGTCGAGAGGAAACCCTCGGGTCGGGCCAGATACCCGACCCGACATAGGGCGCGGTACCCGAAACCGGGTCGAGTCCCTAGTCGAGTCGAAACCCGACCCGACCTGACCCGACCCGAAATCGGGTCTCGAGTCGACCCGACCCGCCCGGGTATACCCGACCCGACCCGGCCGGGTCAGCGGTTCAGAGCACCTGACCCGACCCGGGTCAAAGCCCGGGTTGGGTCGGGTCGACCCGACCCCCCGGGGCACCCTGCTCATGCCAAAGGGAAAGCAACAATATTGGGAGGCGAAATCCCTGAGAATGCAACAGGGGCATGAGAAACATCACGATGGACAGTGTCCGTGGGATGAGTGCTGACTCTGGTAAGGGATGGATGGGACAGGAGAAGTGAGGAGAGGCGTGCACTTTGTGTGCCAAAGAGTGCCATCGACTCAAAATGTAAGCAAAGATTGGAGTATACGTGGCCCAAAAATGAATTCCCCTATTCATGAAACATATTTATTAGTTCGTATTGTTGACATTAGTAGTTGAGCTATTTTAGTCACATTGTGCTCCTTGAGAGATTTTACCAGAGACCAGCACCCCAATCTCAGCTTGGGGGAACCCCACCATGTCTCCCATTTTTTAGGGCGTGGCTCCATCTTTGGGTTCGGGTTCGGGTCGAGCTTTCTTGCATCTTAGGGTGAACATACAAACGCCACAAGTTAGAAAAATGTACGACTTGAACCGTTCGAGTTCAGTTCGAATTAGACATGCGCATCGGACCGAGTCGAGTAAAACTCGACTCTCTTTGGCTCGAGCTCGACGGAGTTCGAGCTCGAGTCGGGGGAAACTGAGTCAGGGGAAACTCGACCGAGTTTTTTTCTCATGATGCTGGACTCGAGACTCGCAAAAATAGGGCTCTAGCTTTGAAAAACGCGACGAGCTTTTTCCTTACACTCGGTCGAGCCGAGTAAACTTGGCTCGGGAGGGGGTGGTTTGAGGGGAGGGAGTGGGAGGGGTGGAGGGGGGGGGAGAGGGGAGGGTGGAAACACCATACATTTTAGTACAAGGTTATGTGTTGTATACCGCATGTAAGCACAACTTGGCCTGCCCCCCCCTCCACTCCCGCATGATTGCCACGGTGAGTTCCCCCGTTCCACCTTTCCCGCCATTTGGGTTCTTACTCACCCCTTGCTTAGATTTCGCCATCATAAATAAACCATATCTACCATTAAATAGGTGCGATTCCGCCTCAGGAAACCCTAGTCGGAAAACTGCACATGTGAAGAATGCGACATGAACTAACTATAGACGTAGAGCTAGGATTGCGTAAAGCTAAATTAAGTTGAAGATGAAAACCAGCCATGAATTTGGCTGTCTAGGCTCAGGTCTCCACTTACGAAAGGCTTAGGAAGAGGACTAACTGAAATCGCGATCTAAAATGAACCCCACCAAAGTGATTTTTTTACAATTTGTCCTCGCTGCCAATCTCGCGACCGAGTTTTCCGTAAACTCGCTCGAGCCCCAAAAGCTCGTCAAGTCTGCAGGAAACTCGATGTGGGGCCGAGCTTTCGCCGAGTTTTTTTAGAACTCGACGGGTAAAACTCAACTCGACTCGACTCGGTCGAGCTTTTTCAGTGGTTTCGTGGACTCGACACTCGACCCGTGTCGAGTTCCCCGTTCGAGTCGAGTCGAGAAACTCGACTCAATGCACATGTCTAGTTCGAATATCTCAGGTTTTCGAAGGGAGAGCTTGCTTGGGTTTGCCTGTTGCTCATATCGAACAGGTACTTCTCCGTCTTTGTCCTACATACGAAGTTTGAGGGCCGCTGTGATTGTCAATAGTTCAGAGAAGACGTGCACTAACTTCTGTTGGAGAAGAGTTACTTAGCAACACCCCTGCCTCATCCACCATGATCACACCTTCCAGTACTCCCCTTCGAGAATAGTGTCATTGGGAGCCGCACAAAAAGATAACCTAGACTGCTCGTTGCATCCCCTTTCATGACTCCACTCCCCCTTCCCTATGAAGCTATGCTCTACTTCATGCTGCTAGTCCTATGAGAGGTCCGACGCGAACCGGTCCAGGTTCGATACGTGCTCATGCCTGCTTACATGTGGTTTAGGTTTGTAAGCATGCCAAGTGTAGCAGGAATTGAGCCAGAGAGCTGATTGTATTGAAGATATCTGCAACAATGAACACAAATGGGCATGCAAGCTACATAGTTTAAGAATGCATAAATGAGTTGGGATAGGAGAGAGCAACTCCAGTGGGAGGGATTTGTGCAGAGTGTCCTTGCACCTTAGGCGGAATTGTCGCAGTTACCGTGCAGCCAAAGGCCGCCAGTGCGAGACGCCGATAACAAAACCAGAAATGAAGAACGAGAGGAGACGTAGCCTACACATCTGCTTATGGGTAAAGGCAGACGGCAAAGCCAAGGCTAAGGATAAGGGCGAACGCTAACCCCTCTTTCTCGCTCTCCCTCTCGCCGATATCAAAAACAAGAAACGACTAACAAGCTCTCTCTTTGCATTGCTCCACTCTGAAATACCTCCACTCTTCTCACACCCCTCCTCCACCCGTCCACATTTCACACTGCCTCTCCAAACCTCCACATGTCCAGTCCAGTGCTTCTAGGCGACAACGTACATTATAGAGAGCTCACGGAGGCTGCTGATGGAATCCGGAATGGGCCCTCTTAGGTTGAGGGACTGTAGGTCCCTGCAACCATATGCACCCAAGCGTGCCACCATGTGGTTACCATGAAATCAGGAGAATGAAAAGTGGTGCGGCCTTAGAGGTGGTCCTAGCACGCACAGCACATGGTGGTGATCACTAGGCATCAGCACGATACCGAACCGAACCAGTTCGTTTATATACCATCAAAAGCTGAACCATTTCACTACCTCGTCAAACTAGCTAACGAACCGAACCAGTTCGGCCGAACCAACCCAGTTCGGTACCGAACCTAAGCGGTTCGGTTCGGTTCGGTTCGGTTCATGCAGTTCGGTTTTTTTGCTCATGCCAAGTGGTCGTCACCGTATGCGAACACTGAGGGGAACAACCCCTGCACGAGCACATGGTAGACAGAGTGCAGATTGAATCTCACATCACCAAGACCATGCCGCTGCTGTCGCATGTGATGCCCTTCGCACTGCTGCAGTCCGGATTGGAGTCCCCCCAACCAGGCAACGTCTGACCCCATGCCGTCTGGCAGTCCTGCATGAATTGCACTGCGGGTTGGTGGAGTGGAGGTGGGGGAGGGAATGGGGAGCGGGACGGGGGAGGGTGTTGGCGGGTGGCACTGGTAGAGATAGGAGGAATGAGGAGTAGAAGAAATGTTTGTCTGCAGGGTTGGGGGGGAGGGGGAAAGGGGGTGTGAGGAGTGCAGTGCACGCAGCAAGCAATGGCACATTGCAAATAGCAACACCATCTTACATTATAGCTCCGGATATAAAAAATTACCACTTGTCATGCAGGATATTTAATGTTCCCGAAGTATCTCAGAGAAAACTTACGGGCAGGGCAAACACGTTACCAAACCACATAAAATTACCACCACTTGTAACAAAACGCCACAGCCAATCATGAACTGCGTTCCATTTCTCTTTCAACCAAATGACTCGTCACAAGCGATCATTTCATCGCAACCAATCGCAGGTCTCTACAATGTGCTCGGATTGTGAGTGAATTTTGATCTTAAGATCGCACATGCCTTAGTCAGCAACAGTATGCTTGCTAATGCCGATTGCGTTCTTCTTGTTCTCACAATTTCAACGATATCCGCAGCTCTTAATTTAGTCAGTGTTTCACAGGGCCTCACTAGCGCCTCACTAGCATCTCACTAGCGCTTCGCAAGGCTTGACGGGCCCTTTACGAAGATTCTGCTCGCGGGCCCTTGTCTGGGCCTTGACAGGCCTTTTACAGGCCTTTCCAGGGGATTCGCGTTCACTAGTGCCTAATAAGGCCTTCGCAACGGTTTTACAAAAGTTTAACGGAAATTCCACTAAAGTACAAAAAAAAATGTTACCATTCAAAACTGAACACTGATCTCCAATATGCAAGAGATTTTCAAGTGTTGTTTTCAATTAGCTGGTACAAAAATTTGTGGTTCAACTCAAAGTACATAAATGTGCTTCGTGACCAGACGTATCCAACACGTTACACATGCGCCTCGTTTCATCCAGGGTTGCACACGCAACCTTAACACCTTTGTCGAACACGACTGAAGTCCGAAATTCATTGCCTTGTGGAACACGACATATTTCTAACCTACATTTCTCTTCCGTCAAACTCATTTTCCCAAACTAATCATTTCTTTCTCCTCGACTATGAAAATTAGCAAGGAGAAAAAATGGCTAGAATGGGAAAATGAGTTTGACAATAAGAAATTGGGGTTAGAAGCATGGCGTGGTCCACAGGGCATTGAATTTCGAATTCCAGGCCCGTTCGACAAAGATTTTAAGGTTGCCAGTGCGACTCGGGGTGAACCAAGGCGCATGCGTAACGTTAAAGATACATCTGGTTACGAAGCGTGTTTGTGTACTTTGGGTTGAACCATAAATTTGTTAAAACATTCAGTTGAAAACAACACTTGAAAATCGCTCACACGGTGGACATCAGTGTTCAATTCCGATTTGTGGCACTTTTGCGACACTTCAATGAAATCTCTGTTAAACCCCTTGTGAAACCATCGCGAATCCCCGCGAAGGGCCCTGAAAGGCCCGTCAAGGCCTCGTCAAGGGCTCGCGAGGAGAATCTCCATGAAGGTCCCGTCAAGGCCCCGCGAAGCGCTAACGAGGCGCTAGTGAAACGTTGACGAAATTAAGAGCTGCGCATATCGTTGCAGTCGTGAGAACGAGGAGAACGCTATCTGCATTAGCAACAGACTTTTGCCTAGGCGCTTGCGATCCTAAGATTTGAAAACAGTGTCGATACACTTTCTGAACTCCCAAAACTGTTGAGTTGGACATCCCAAAACACACTACAGGGACAGAGCCAAAATCTGTCCCAAAATGACTCCTGAAGGCACAGTTTGGGACGGAATTTGGACATCAGCAGTTGGTGAAGTCACCTTGCTTGCATCAGACGGAGTTGCACATACTCGTTTGTGCAATGTTGTCACTTCCCGCCAACTATGTCCAGTGACGAAGTGTACACGCTGAAGTGTAACACATACACAGAGCCAATGGCGACACGTACACATTTCGTGAAATCTCGCCGATTCGCGAACACATGCCATTACATGCCACTACAGCCAGAAGGAACCTCAAGAAGCTTCCGAAGACCATGCATTGAAATCTGAAACGATATGTTTTGTGGTGCCCGAAAAGACCCTGAAAAGACCCAGACAAAGTGTAACACCTTGTTACCCACTGGGTCAAAACGAGGGTTATATTTGAGGCGCGGCGGAGGCACTCAACTCTTACGTGTAAGCCCCACAAGCGTTACACTCGTCCCCCCCTGGAGCCAACGTCCTCGTTGGGCAGGGAGTCGGCCCTCGCAAGGACCTGTATCTCGCTCTACAGCGACTTCGCTGGTGGGCCAGGCCAGCAGCGGTTCGTTCACTGGGTTCGCGACTGGCACATTCAATGTGACCCAGCCGGGAATCGAATCCCAGGCTCTGAGACCAAATGTAACACCTCGCTACCCACTGGGTCAAAACGAGGGTTATATTTGAGGCGCAGCGGAGGCACTCAACCCTTACGTGTAAGCCCACAGGCGTTACACAAAGGACCCCATTCGGCTGGGTTTGGGGCGTTCAATTTTTTGCGATGTCTATGAGGTTGCTGATCCGCACTGGCCATTGTCTCACCTTGCGACGCCTGAAGCGGCTGGGCGTTGACCAGGGCGACGGGCCTGGCAAGTTGAACGACGACGAGGCACCATGCGATAGCCAGCGCGCGCTGCACCCATCGCTCTTCTAGTACTAGCGCCATGACTCCCGAGTGGCTCACCGCCGCCGCTGCACGCGGCAATTGCCAATTGAGAGTGGAGAGAATCGGAGTCTGCACTACGTTGCCCTAACTGAATCTACAACGCTGACTCGGCCCGCGGCCTCGCCGCGAACCAGCTGTCGTGACCGCTCTCCCCGGCGTCCTCCTACGCTAACACTGATAGCGCTTGCTCGCTTCGTTTCCTTGGTTGCTCAACTCAGGCACACGATTGAGCCGCGTTTGGCTCCTGGAACAGATGTGCGGTCCGAAGAAAAGCCTAATCACACGGAAAGAGGCGTTGTGCAAGCATTCAGCGCCAGGAAAAGTTGGAGTCCCATGCGGAAGGGAAAAAGAAGGGCGATGACAGGCTAGATTCTCGGTGAAAATCGGTTTTGATGTCGTATTAGCGCAGGTCTCACGTACTGCAACGATGGGTTGCTTTGGTTGTCAGCTCGTTGTGTGGGTGGGTGAGCCGTTCTGCGTCGAAGGCTGGCAGGTCGACCGCAGAATTTCCTATCAACACACATTACTGTACACGCAGCCAATGTGTGGACCGCATAGAATCCTACCGCGTTAGCGTGGATTGCAGCTTCTCTCCAACAGATCGCCCCAGCACAACTTCCAACAGATCGCCCCAGCACAACTTCCAACAGATCGCCCAGCACAACTTCCAACCACTGTAATGAAATGTTCCCAAGTGACCGAACTTTGGATGAGCAGACACTGATGTGGAATAAAGGACGCATTCCCTCGCTCGATCCCCTCAGGTGATCGATTTTCATTGCTACATTTGAACTGTAGCATATTATTCTACAAAATTACAGCCATATTTCGAGAACATTCCTGAATCTACAGTAACATGTGTACCACGAGGTTGTCCCCTGCCAACGATCACGATTGTTGGCGCAACGTGTAACTGTTGTTCAAAGTTGCATATCCCGAGGACAGCTGACTTGGCTCCACAAGCCAGGAGGAAACACAACCCTTCCGTTCATTTACAGAGCCCGTTAAAAACCATACTGTAGCTCAGCTAGAAATATACACACAAAGCAGTGTCATTCAAACCTTGATACACTTCATTATACAGGCCTGGCGATTTGATTGTGGTCTGCAAATATGCCAAGTAGGTCACCCTATTTAACATTATTTGCTGGCATCTTCTTCGGATTTTGTAATGTAACTGTGACACTTCGCCGATTTTGTGCAGCTGCTGAACGCGAGCAGAAATGACTACGTTCAAGAGCACGCTTTGGATGCGCGTTCGAACGCGCGGTCGACTGGCTGTCTAGTTATTCGACATACTCGAATAGTAATTTCACGACGTAACAAGATTTTGCGCATTCATTAAATTAGTAACCAGCTCAATTTCGACTGTTTCTTCAAACTTTTCTGCGTCTTCTCCGATTTGTTTGTTACAATCCCATGTGGGACTTAGTGAAAGGATCGTTCAGGGTTGATCGCAGGTAGTGTTGCAGCGGAAGTATTGAACTCAGGTCAGAGTGAATGTAAATGACTGAGATCATAATAGCACGCATACGTTCAGTTTATATAGAAAATACAAATGAATATGAAACGACCTAGACTAGCCATGTACTCTAAGGGGTACATTCCCTTATTGCGGCGAAATCCAAAACCGTGTGGCGCGGGAACCAGTTTCAAACATGTTCCCACTCTTCACATTTCAAATGTTTCTGCCTGCATTGGTCTTGGTCAGACGGTCGCTAGTGTTGCTTCGACTCTTCTGACTCATCGACTTTGTACTCGCTAGAGTCTGCCCGTGCAGCA